ACGCCCGCCGGGAGAGGTTCCCAGCCCATGAACGACATGGTCCAGCGCCCTGTCTGGTGGTCGGCGCGGGTGGGCATGGTGGGGAACCCGGCCGAGTAGTGATTGTCGAACCTCACTGCGCTCGCCGCCAGCGCGTCAAGGGAGGTTGTCCGGATGCTGCTGTTACCGTATGCACCCAGGTGGTCCCGGCGAAACGAGTCGGAAACTATCCAGATTACGTTCATACTGACCTCTTCGGTTCATCTTAGGCGGGCTGCGTCAATATTCAATGGCTATCGGCCAGTGAATCGGAAGGTTGTCAAGGTCTACCTGCCAGATTGACAGCTGACCCGCAGTGCACCTGCAGCACACACGGCAGACCCGGTGCAGGCATCAAGCCAGATTTTCACCAACCAGGAAGCCACACACGGGTATCCGGACAGGTGCCCCGACGCGCCCGTCAATGTCAGCTCACGCCGGAGTTTGCGGTCTGCGATCCCTGTCTAGTAGAGCAACAGCATTGAAATGATGGGATGAACGCCCTCGCCCTAACCCTCTCCCGTAGGGAGGGGGCTAATGAGTGAAAGACCCTGGGTGAGTCACGCGAATCTCGCCTACTCCTCATTTCAAAGATGTTCAACTACTAGTACTACAACGACGGGTTCAGGGTGGAGGGTCCATTCTGCCTTCACAGCGGGCGGAGCGGCGTCTCTCGTGGGAGCGGCGCGCCCGTTCGTTGCGTAGCTGCGTATCCTCCAGCCACAACAGCAATTGATCGGGCCGAACCGCTCCCGGGGCAGCATCTCACGCACCACCCGGTACACCTGCGGGCGGGTGATCCGGGGCAATCTTTTTCCCCCCCAATCCTGCTGCAGGCCCAGCAGAACGCTCCGCCCAGCAGGCACATGGCTATGTGGTGATTGCCAGCCTGCCCAGCTCCGTCTCGTACTTCGTCCAGCCCAACGTCGCCCTTTTCAGTCCTCGAACTCCGTTTCTATGCGCCACCTGGAACCGCCCACGTATGCCAGAGTCTCCAAAGTTGTGTCCTCGGGTGCGTTGGACAGGTAGTAGCGAGGTTCGCTGCCGTCCAGGTTCCGGCGGTAGACCGCCCAGTTGGATTTCGCCGGGCTTGCGCCTCCGCCGGGCTTGCGCCACCTGGTAACCCGCACCCGCTGGGCGCTGAACCGGTAGGTGCGCGGCCCTTGGGCTCCCTCTGCACCGTTATCTCCGCCAGGCCTCCTCCGGCAACTCATCACTGCGCTGCTCCTGCCCTGCTCCATGGTCCGGCGCTGCCATCCCGCAGCCTGGGTTGCGGGGGCGCCCGAACCCTGGATGTGAATTGCCTGATATTCCGGACTGGTCCAAGCCGGCTCCAAAGGCCAAGCCGTGGTGCCGCCCGGAACGTCCCAGCACGTACCGCATACCCAAGGCCGCCAGTCCCTCCCGGAAGGACGGCGACATCCCGAAGGCGTCATCTCCGGCAACCCACCCGGCCTCCAGATGGCCCAGTTCCATGGCCTGCGCCAGCATCTCCAAGGCCAACTCCGTCTTCGAACGGTAGCTGCGTCTCTCCGCCGGCACACCCGCCGCCTGACACCGGGCATCGTCCGAAGCCCAACCTGGGGCAGGTACAGCCGTTTGTCCACCAACGCCCGCCCAGCGGGCTGACATAGGCCAGGAACATCCCGGCCTGGCAGTTGGCCACCTTCCCCAGCCTGCCGCAGTACTGCCGGGCCACTCCCACCGATTTCCTCCCTGCTTGGGAAGTCGCTGCCGTCGAACACCCACACGGCCTCGGGATGCTCCAGCCTGGGGGCCAGGTATTCCTGCAACCGCCCTATTACTGCGTCATCGGACCACCGGGCCTCGGTGAGAAAACGCTGCATCGCCCGGGCGGAGATGCCCACCGATTCGGAGAGATTCTCGGCGTTGCGCCGCTCCCCGGCTTGCACCAGCAGGGCTTGAAGATAGTTCCGGCTGTGCTCCCGCCACTGCTTGCGTCCGAAGGAGTCCGCAAAAAAGGCGTGAAATTCCTGAAAGCTGTCGTAGACCCGCTTGAAGCTCGCCGCATCCATCACCCAAACCGCCCACCATCATCTGGCCAGCTATCCTACCAAACAACTCGTCCCCAACAACTCGTCGTTGTAGTACTAGAGCGTGTCCAAGAATTCCTGAGCCGGGTGCTGCAGCCGCGGTGAGGGACACCGGCTCGGCCAGCACGCCCTGGCGGCGATGGATCCGCCCACCACCGCTGCTGAACTAAATGACCCTGTCTCCGCGCCCTGACGTGGGCTGGTTGTCCGTCTCACCCGACGCCCCAGGGGGAGGTGTCAACATCACGCGCCAACGGGGAGTTTCCTTGGACGCCTCGACAAGGACCTCCTCCGGCGGGACATCAATGTCAACATCGTCGAATTCGAAGTTGAAGGCGGCCCTGACGTGGGCGGGGCATACAAGGCCCGCCGCAACATTGTTCTGGCGTCCCACTCGCCTCAGTTCCTCGCGTTCGGCGAGGGTCATCTGCAGCCGGCGGTGGCACCAGCGATAGCGCATTTGACCGGGACTTTTCTGGGCATTTCCCTAATTTTACAACCACAGCTCAAGGAGGGCATTTCGGGCATGCAAACCGAGTGGTCAGCCTCATCTACTTTTGCCCGCAGGGTCATTCGGCCCAGCCGCATGATTGCCGAGTCCGGAAGACTGAGCCAGTCGGTGCGGTATGAAGGCTACAAGACCCGCGTCGAACCTCTGTGCAGGGTACTTGAGTCACAGTCTGTTGCTGATGATGGCATGTTCTATGACTCATCTGGCGACGACGAATCGGACTGGCTACCCTGGACCGTGCGGCGGATCATCGAGAGCGGTCCGGGCAGCAGGGTAGATGATGTTCAAGAGGTCCCTTAGACGCCGACATTGCGCTTCACACAACCGGTCTTCTGACCGCTGGACGTAACCCAGGGGACAGAACGCCGGGCGGCGGGCTAATTGAAAGTTCAGCCGTCTATCCTATTAGGCACATATGACTAAACTAAAGCCAAGGTGAAATGTACATATCGCTAGACCGCACTATCGGTGCCACACCCGTTGTGGGCCTGAGGTGATATGAGGTGCCAGTGGAGTCCTTGCGGCATCGTCAATCTCCCGAAATGCACATCCCACCTGGTATTGGTTTAGCGCCGAGCTAAGGAAGAGCACGGCTTGAGTTCGCCGTGCTCTTCCTTAGACCTGTAGAATTGTCCGGGAAGCCTGCGTCGGCTAGACGAACCAGCCCATGCGTTCCCAGTGGCCGCGCAGAAGGCTATCTGCCTCCGTGGACGGCGTTGTCAAAGACCAGACACCGATGATGGCCTCTTTCGGCTCGGGGTCCGAACCGGGACTCAGGCTCATCGTGGCGCTCACTCCTCGTCGGTCACGGAGGACATATAGTCCCGGCAGCAGGGGCCTTCATGCCTCGTAGTACCCTACCAGACGTCTTTGGAGGTAGCGGCCACGCGGCCATCGCGCGCGCCGCTCCCAGCCTTGGCCGGTCGTCTCCGGGTCGTCGCTCATGCCGAATTTCTCGCAACCAACCGTCTCTATCCATATCTGAGGCTTGCTTGGACCTGGCATTCATGAAAACGTCCAGCCACCACCCGGCTCATGTGGAAGAGGAGCCAACCGATGGAATTGTCGCTGTCGGATATCCGGCGCGCCAGTGTCTCATCCTCAGTCGTCTATGGCGCGGTCTACCATACCCCAGTTACGTTCCAGCGATCTATATCCGCGGAAACAGCCATGGTTACTCTCCAAAAGTTCGCTTGTTTGGGGTTGCGGGGCCTAATTGTACAGTCCCAAACCTGGAATGGTCTGGAATGGTCAGGTAGCCCGCCGATCAAGAAGAGACCTGCTTCTGATCTGCGACTGTAGTATCAGGGTCCTGTCGGTAGTCTCAAGACCTCGAAATGTAGATCCCACACGAGGCTTATTTATCGTGACGTAACTTTCACATAGATGAGGCGCATGCGCTTATCTGCTCCCCGTCGGCTGGATGAAGGCCTCTGCCTCATCCCCCCGGCGGGTGTTTTTGTCGTGCGAATGCTCCTATGACAATCTCCGGGATGAGATTTCTCATTTGTCGGAGAAACAGTGAGTAAATGATTGATGCCAGTCGCTTGGAGCTCTATAAGGGCGAGCTCAGTATCAAGGAATTACGGTCGGTGGTTCCCCGCTGGGTCGGTGAAGAATATGATTGTGTTCCCTCCAGGGCTACTACACTGATCGAGACAGACATTTAGCGCCGTGGTGTCCACCCAAAACGACGAACGAGTGGGACGCATTAGGCATACTGCTGGAACGGCTGTGCGACCCGTCGGCATGGAAAGGATATGAGACACACCAGAAGGCGGATGAACTGCGTGACAAACACTGCGTCCATCACTTCCACCTCGACGAGCGACGCAGGTCCCGTTCTCCTTACCGCTGGTTCGCTTTCAGAGCACCCAACCGCTTCGGTAATGTTTGGTTCAATCTGGGAGGAACCTACGAAAATTTAGAGTCCTTGAGGAATCTATGGACGAGTCCGATCTGGTTCAGGCGGATCAAGCAGCTGTATCCGTGGGTAGCTTCAACGTACCGAATCCGTGGAGCAGACAAAATCCCATTCCGCTCGCAGTTCCCCAAGAATGTACGGAGCATCTGGCATGGCAAGCGTCAGGGCGTCTACGGAGCTATGATCGTAGACGATGACGTATATCTGTACCCCGGAATGGCGAGCGGTGCCCCAATGTCAGGCGACCCGGACAGATGGATGGTCTTTGTGCAGGATGGTGCTCTCTTCGCCATGTATGGGGAGCCTGATGGCGGCACGTTGCTGTCTATGATTGACCATGCTAGTACCGTAATGGACAGTCTCGCGGCAACGTAACCGTAGTTGGAAGGCCAGGAGGTCTTGTAAGATTCTGACTATTCATATTGCCGGTACGCACTCCTCCGCAGCCGCGTAATTACGGTTGGAGTTGAATGGCGGATTGAAGCGGACCCGGTCAGTTGGATAGGATCGAGGTGGAATTAGGCGAGAGTCCCGCTGCTCCTGCCGATGATACCAGCGTCTGGGCTATTGGAGACTCCTTGGCTTGGACCGCCCCCTCTTCTCCAACATCGGTCACCTGGTGGAACACCTCGGCCGGTGTCCGGTAGCCCAAGGCCTGATGAGGTCTCTGGTCGTTGTAGAACCGGAGGTAGGCGCCCAGTTCCCTCCTGGCTTCACTGGCGTTGGCGTAGGCTTTCAGGTACACCTCCTCGTACTTCACGGTGCGCCACAACCGCTCCACGAAGGTGTTGTCGTTGTACCGCCCCTTCCCGTCCATGCTGATCTCACTCCGTGTTACTGCAGTACATGAGTGAATTCCAGGGCTGGTGAATTGACTGCCCTGGTCGGTGTTGAACCACCTCCGGATGCTTGATGTGAGTTCTACGATTTGGTCACCTGTAACTGGTTCAGCGAACATCAGGAACAGGCAGGATTCAGGTACTCAACGGTGTTCTGGAATACCAGCTTCCCATCGCCCAGGCTGCCGAGATCATGGGAGTGAGCGAACGCCACACCAAGCGTCTCCTCGCCGCTTACCGCAAGGACGGTGCCGCCGCACTGGCCCATGGGAACCGGGGCCGAAGACCTCACAACGCCGTCCCTGAGACGGCCGCCGCTGCCGTGGTGAAGCTGGCCAGCAACGGCTACGCCGGGGCAAACCACAGCCACTTCACCGAGTTGTTGCGGGAGCGCGAGGGCATCGACCTGAGCCGCCCACGGTGCGCCGGATTCTGGTCAAGGCCGGCATCGGCAGTCCTCGCAGCCGCCGCTCCCAGCAACACCGTTCCGGCGCAGGCGCATGCCCCAGGAGGGCATGCTGGTGCAGATCGACGGCAGCAACCACCCCTGGCTGGAGGACCGGGGACCGAAGCTGACGCTGCTCATCGCCGTGGACGACGCCACCGGCACCGTGGCCCAGGCCGTTTTCCGCACCACCGAGGACACCCGCGGCTACCTGGTGCTCCTGGAGGGCTTGGTCCGCCAGTGGGGAATCCCCCTGGCCCTCTACAGCGACCGCCACGCCGCCTTCAAGTACAACGCCCGTCAGAAGCCGGTGCCTGTTGAAACCACCCAGTTCGCCAGGGTGATGCGGGAGCTGGGCATCCAGCAGATATTCGCACTCTCTCCGCAAGCCAAGGGACGGGTGGAGCGGATGCTGGAAACCTTCCAGGACCGGCTGGTAACCGAACTGCGCCTGGCCAGGGCCAGCACCATCGACCAGGCCAAGGAGGTCCTCCAGGAGTTTCTGCCCAGTTCAACGCCCGGTTCGCCGTGGCGGCGGAGCAGCCGGAGACGGCCTACCGGCCGGTGCCGGCCGAGCTGTCTCTGACCGAGACCATCTGCATCAAGGACACCCGCAAGGTGGCCCGGGACAACACGGTGAAGTACCACTGGCGGGTCCTGCAGTTGCTGCCTGGGGCGGAACGGCCCAGCTATGCCGGCCTCCGGGTGGACGTCTGGAACGGGCCGACGGGGAGCTGATGCTCCAGTACCAGGGAGAGGCCGTGGATTATCAGGAGGGGCCGCCGCCCTCCTCAGCGCTGTGGGGCGCAGCCACCGCCTGCTCTCCCCGGCCCGGAACTGCAGGAGGGCGCCGATGGGGTGGTCAACAGCCACCTGAACGAGGCTCAACGGGAACGCCTGGCCGCCCTTGAATCGTCAGAATCGTCCGATGACGACGAGGCCAACGACGAAGACGTAGCCACCAGGGCAGAGGTGGGAAAGACAAAGCCAGTTCGCCACCAGTTGCGCCGGACGCCCACGGAGACCCAGCAGGCTCGCTGGGAGGCGGTACAACAGGCCAGGGAGCAGGGACTTTCCCTCCGGGCCATCGCCCGGAATCTGGGCATGGCCAAAAACACCGCGAAGAAGTACGCCGTGGCTGGCGCTCCACCCACCAAGAAACTCAGCGCCAAGGAGCGAGCCAAGGCCGAGGCTCTGGTCGCACCGCTAGTGGCAGCCAACTAAATCCGGGTGACATATTCGCTTTTCAAATAAGGGGACGTAATCGCTGGACAACAACAAATCAGGGGTCAATGATCTGGTCAATTTTCCGGTTTACCGGGTCAAAGTCCCTGGCAATTCACACACACCCCTTCCGGATGCTCCAGCCGGGTTCCCAGGTACTCCTGCAGCCGTCCGATAATCGCCTCATCGTCCCAGGGAGAATCAGTGAGAAACCGCTGCATCCCTCGGGCAGACCCCGGAACCGTCTCCGACAGGTTCTCAGCGTTGCGCCGCTCCCCGGACTGTACCAGCAGGGCCTGGAGATAATGACCGCTGTGCTCCCACGTCTCCCGGCGGGCAAACAGCGGAGCGAAGTAAGCGTGAAAATCCCCAAAGGCTCCGTACACCTGTTCGAAAGCTGCCGCATCCACATCCCCACCTCACCTGCCTGTTCCCTCTCCAGCTACACAGTCATCCTATCCAACTAACTGACGTTGTAATACTAGGGATCGACTTCGGCAATGCTTTTCGGACGAGTGCCGTGAAGGGGCCCGGTAAGGCTTGGTGGACGTTATGGCCACAGGTTGTTGTGGACCATGGCCCAGTGGTATACACAGAGTCTCCCTCGGACGTGATCGAACGACTTCCGAAGGCATCCTGGGGATTTATCACGCCGTTTGTGAAACGCAAGCGTTCCTCCGACCAGGAGGAATACTGGTTCGTTATTTCCATTGGCGGGTCGGGTGATCCGAAAGAGCTAACCCTGGATCAAACAATCACCGAAGAACTAAGGGCTCTGACCCGCCTGGTCGAGTAGGCAGATCCATCAAGCTCGAAACTCCCCTATGGCCGTCTGCGCGGGACTTGGGCGAAAGGGTTACAATCTACCCAGCCACATCTCAAAGATGGTTCTGCCTACGGTCAAAACAGGCCCACCGCCCGTAGGAACCCACTAATGGACTTCGATCCTACAGCCAATTCGCTTACGGTCCGCCATATTCGGCGGCCGGCGGCCGGAGTGCGGCGATGCGAATAGGGGTTCTGGAGATTCTGCGTCCCGAGAGAAGCAGCCATTGGACCCACTCGGCGTACGCTCACTACTTCGTCAAGCAGTACGCCAGCATCATGCCACAGGCGGTCAGCGTATGGTGCCGGCAGATGGGGCACGAGTCCTTCTACGCCACCTACTACGGGCAGGGCGACGCCAAGGCCCTCTTGCCGGACGATTTGGACGTGGTGTTTATCTCCACTTATACACAGGCGAGCGCACTGGCCTACGCCCTCGCCAAGCTCTTCCGGCTGGACGGCGCCCGCACGGTGATCGGCGGCCCACACGCGAAGTCTTTTCCAGACGATTGCCGCCGATTCTTCGACGTGGTCGTGCTCGATTGCGATAAGACCCTGGTGGAGGACATCCTGAGGCAGGCGCCGAAGGGAGAGACGGTGACCAGCGGGCGTCAGCTCAAGGACCTGCCAACCGTCGAGGAACGCATGCCGGAACTCCGGACCTCGATCTTCTCCGGCGGAAAGCCCTATATATCCAGCACTGTGCCAATGCTCGCCAGCGTCGGGTGCCCCTACGCCTGCGACTTTTGCATCGATTGGAGCAACCCGTTCGCCTTGCTGCCCTTGGACAGACTCGAGGCCGACCTGCGGTTCATCTTCGACAAGCACCCCAAGCTACTTGTGAGCTTTCACGACCCGAACTTTGCCGTAAAGTTCGACGAGCTGTTCGCGGTCCTGGAGAGGGTCCCGCACGGAAATCGCCCCTACTACATCATGGAGAGCTCCTTATCCATCCTGCGCACGTCCAGACTGGAAAAGCTGCGCTCCACCGGGTGCCTCTACTTAGCTCCTGGAGTTGAGTCCTGGTCCGCATACTCGAACAAGTCCGGCGTCGGGTCGAAACAGTCTGATGAGATCAAGCTGAACCAGGTAATCGACCATTTCCGGCTGATCCGCGAGTACGTGCCCGGGATGCAGGCCAATCTGATATTCGGGCTGGACGTGGACGAAGGAAACAGACCAGCCGAGTTGACCAAGGAATTCATGTCGCGCGCGCCTTTTGTGTGGCCGACCATCAATATACCCCACTCCATTCGGCGGCACTCCCCTGTTCGACCGGTACCTCGACGAGGGGCGCATCCTGATGTCGATGCCGTTCGCTTTCTATTACGCGCCTCACATCGTCACCACCCTCAAGAACTACGATCCGATCACCTACTACGAGCATCTCGTCGATATGTATTCACACATGGCATCTCCGCAGGTCGTCATGAAGCGGTTATTGACCACGCCGGGGTATCCGCTCCGCGTGCTCCACGCCCTTCGCTCCCAAGGCGCGTGGCGTATCCAGAGAGAGTACAAGCGCATTCTGCAGGTGATGAAGACTGACCGGGAATACAGGGCCTTTCATGAGGGAAGATTGAAGGAGCTGCCGGAGTACTACCACCGCAAGTTTGAAGCGGCCCTCGGCCCGTACGCAGAGCTGCTATCTCGAGAGGACCGCCAGCCGTTGCTGCGGTCGTCGTCTCGCTCGTCAAATCACCCCCCTGCCTCACCTCTACCCCTTCCGGTAGGAAGGGAGACTGGTGCGACGGAACACAGAAGGAGCGGTTCAAAAGAGTGACTGACAAAACTCTATCCACGCTTCTGCCGATGCCAGGTTGGGACCCGCGACACGCCGGTGAGGTAGAGATTGCGGGCGGCACGGACCCGATTCTGCCGACTCCCTTCCGGATCGGTGAGACCGCCGCGGCCAGCTTGGCCGCCGTCTGTCTTGCTGTGTCCAACCTGTGGGAACTGCGGACCGGGCGCCGTCAGGAGATCAAAGTCGATACCCGGCAGGCCACAGCGTCGCTGCGCAGCAGCCGGTACTTGACCATGGACGGGTCGCCGACGAGCGGACCCCTGCGAGCGTCCGCTTCCTCCCGTGGCTCTCTGCACGGGTATTACCTACCAAGGGGGACTCCTGATGGTCTCGACAACGCGAACGCGGCGAACGCAACACCTGGGGCTTACGCTGAGGTCTACCGCAACGCATGCGAGTACCAGCCCCTCCAGACCGTCTTCCAGCGGCGGAACAGCCCGATGAAGACGGGGTTGGTCCAACCGGGAGCGGGCCCAACTCAAGCGGTCCAGGGAAGCGAAGGTCCCTTCAGCGATGGTCTGACGCCGCCGCCGCTCCCGCCGGTACCCTTCAGTACGGTTCCGTACGGTTCCGTTCTACCGACTAACCAAGATTGTCAGGCCTCTGCGGCCGTTCTTACCGGGGCAGAATCTGGGGCGGGGCCATGATCACCGGTCAGCGGCACCAACTGGTAGCCCAAC